TGAACACAACCTGCTTGGCCAAGGTTTCTAAGTAACAAACTGAGAAGCTGGAAAATCCAGGACATCAATCAGCTCTTTTAAGTAATTTTTTCTGCCCTTTTATCAGCTAAAGCCAGGACCCCTGGAGGAGACTTACATAGCTACTATCCTGAGAGAAATTCTAAAGGGTTTGGATTATCTTCACTCTGAGAGGAAGATCCACAGGGACATCAAAGGTAGGATTGGAGAGATCAGCTCTCTTTCTTGTAAGGGATGTTACTAACATAAGATTCAGAACTATTATACAGCAATAGTCTGAGAGGTTTTAAAGTCTGTTTCTTAGTGCTGCTTTTTCTGTTGGGTTGCTTGTTTCTGAATCTGATCATAGAATCACAGACTGGTTTGGGTTGGAAGGAACCTCAAAAATCACCTAGATCCAACCCCCTGCATGGGCAGGGACACCTCCCACCAGCCCAGGTTGCTCCAAGCCCCATCCAACCTGCCCTTCAACACTGCCAGGGATGGGGCAGCCACAGCTTCCCCAGACGACCTGGGCCAGGCTCTCACCACCCTCACACTCCAGAATTTCCTCCTCATGTCTCACCTTAATCTCCCCTCTTCCAGTTTTCATCCCTTCCCCCTTGTCCTCTCCTTCCCTGCCCTTGTCCCAAGCCCCTCCCCAGCTTTCCTGGAGCCCCTTCAGGTACTGGAAGGTGCTTTAAGGTCTCCCTGGAGCCTTCTCTTCTCCAGGCTGAACACCCTAACTCTCCCAGCCTGGCTCCAGAGCAGAGCTGCTCCAGCCCTTGGATCATCTTCGTGGAGTGTTTGTCATTTTATTGCAATTCATGCTTTTGTGTCTTTAGAGTAACAGTAAGGAGGGTCTGCAGCTCTTCTGTGGCATTTATAGTTCAGACAGGCAGGAGGCTAAAGCAAAGGAGTCAATGAAAGGCATCTCAAATATTAGCTGGCTCTCACTTCTGTCTAGACATTGGCTTTACTGCAGGACCCTCAGGTGTGTGTGTGCTGGTTATCATGGCTATAACTTATTGTGGAGGTGACCTGTCCTTATGTAGGGTTCAGAGCTCTAGAAAACCAGGACAGCTTGTGTCAGCTTGTCTTGTCACTGCCTTTCATAGTCATGGGCTGTATGTGCTGTAGAGAGACCTGCCCTCTGCCTTCCAAAGAGCTGTCCCACACTGAGCACAGAGCATCAAAGAGCAGCAGGAGGGTGGGAGGACAGGCCTGTGGAGACATGGCCAGTGCTGGATGTGACTGCTCTGACCCTCTGCAGGAGGGGATGTGAACAGGCAGAGCAGATCAACCTCATGCAGGGAGATTTGGAGAAAAATATTCCATTGCGTTTGTGAGACTCCATCTTCCCAGCACAGCCAGCCCTGCAGGGATCCTGGCTGCCAGCAGAGTGGGGAAATGCTGGAAGTTTGCAGGTAGGGCTTCTCCCAGAACAAAAAGTCCTACCAAAAAAATAACCCATCTCAAAACCCAAGCAATGACACTGCCTTAAGCTGAGTGAGTGGGAAGCAGTACTAGACCAGGAGTTTGGGGCTCTTTAGAAGGATCTGCTATTTAATCTGGGCTGAATGGTGCTCTAAAGAAAAATGGAGACCATTTGAGGGCCATTTTGTCCTATCTTTGTGGCCAGGAGTCACACCTAGTTGATTGTGTGGCTCTCCACATCTCCTTGCTGCTACCCTAGAAAGATTCCCCTTCTGAATATGTATGAACTTGTTCTGTGTTATCCAGCAGAGATCAGAGCATGAGGGTGAGTCTGAGGCTGGAACTCTGAGCTGAGGGTTTTCACTGGGTCAAAGAAGGATGCCACAGGAGATCTGTTCTTAGTGTTCAGTTCTGTGTGGGCTGGAGATGATTCAGAAACCTGGGGAGTTAATGCTTGTTTGTGTGAACAGCTGCCAACGTGCTGCTTTCGGAGCAAGGAGATGTGAAACTGGCTGACTTTGGGGTGGCTGGGCAGTTGACAGACACGCAAATCAAGAGAAACACCTTTGTTGGGACCCCATTCTGGATGGCACCAGAGGTCATCAAACAGTCTGCTTATGACTTCAAGGTGAGCTGGGAGCTCAGGAGGGTTGCTGCTTGGTGCTGCTCTGTATGAGATGGTGCTAGCCTTACTGCAGGGGTTGGACGCACTGCTTGATACAAGAATGATGCTTTCCTGTTGTGGTTCAGGATCTGTGGGAGAAGTCTGTTAGACATGAAATGCCCTCTCTGATGTTATAAGACAAGCCCTTTCTTGCTCTTCTTCCAGGCAGACATCTGGTCCCTTGGAATTACAGCCATTGAACTAGCAAAGGGAGAGCCTCCAAATTCTGACTTACATCCTATGAGAGTTCTCTTCCTGATTCCCAAAAACAACCCTCCAACACTGGAGGGTCACCACAGCAAGCCCTTCAAGGAGTTTGTGGAAGCCTGCCTCAATAAGGATCCTAGATTTGTGAGTATTGCTGTCCACTTGTGAATTTGGGTCAAGCATTGCAAAAGTCAAAGATGTATGTAGCAGGAAGACGTTTTGGTGCAAGGCTCTTGGAGACAAGGAGCTTGTGGAAATGGATGGGCAAGCCTGGCAAGACTTGGAAGTCTTGCATGTGTAGTGTGCAGCAATGGTTGGATGCAGCCTGCTTTCCTTCTTTGCTCCAGAGGCCGACAGCTAAAGAGTTGCTCAAGCACAAGTTCATCACACGCTACACCAAGAAAACCTCATTCCTGATGGAGCTGATCGACCGGTTCAAGCGCTGGAAGTCAGAGGGTCACGGAGAGGATTCCAGTTCTGGTGACTCCGATATGTACGTACACGTTGATGCTGCACCCTGCACAGAGTCATTGGGTCCTTCTGGTTGGAAAAGACCTTGATGGGCATCAAGTCCAACCGTTAACCCAGGCCACTACCATGACCCTCAGCACCACGTCTCCATGGCTTTTAAATCCCTCCAGGAACAGTGCCCCAGGGTAGGCTGCTGCAAACAGCTCAGGTCCTTTTCCCCATCCGGGCTAGAAGTCTTAACAGTAGCTCAGGAGGATGTGGGACCATCTGTTTGTGGGAGCAGGCAAGTGCCTGAAGAAACAGGCTGGGAGCTCCTCCTGTTCAGTGGGACCCAGGGCTCTATTCTTCATAGAATGGTTTGGGATGGAAGGGCCCTCAAAGATCATCTACATCCAACCCCCTGCATGGTCTCCCACGAGACCAGGTTGCTCCAAGCCCCATCCAACCTGTCCTGTTTTAACCTGTGGAGCCTCTTTGCTGAGTAGAAGAAATCAGGAGGACTAAAGCAACACGTAGCATGTGCATGGCAAGTGAAACAAAGCTCTTGTTGCCTGTATTTTATGCACGTGTAGTTAAATACACCCCCTTTTCAAAGAGCTTTAGTAACTGTGGCAACTTTGTGGATTGCTGCTGATGCAGAGGGTACTGAGGCTATGAGCCTTGGGTGAGGAAAGGGTACGTTGTGGCCAGGCTGCTGTAGCAGAGCTTCCCTTCACTTGGTGCTGGCAGCAACTCAGGTGACCAATGGCTCTGGGAGGTTGGCTTGAAACATCTCAGCCTGGCCCCTCAAACTGTGAACTTAGATTGTCTTGAAATTCTTCTCAATGTAACCGGCACTTGAAGCTGTCTTCAAGCTGGCTAGAGCAAAAAGGTGGTTCTGGTGAGTTGGGAACATGATGTAGTACTTGCCTCATACCTCTGTGGTTCTGGATATGGGCTGTAGAGCCTGAAGCAGTTTCTTTTCAGGATTTTTTCTGGGATAGGGAAATGCCTGGAGCCCTGTGGTGATACACAGTCAGGTGGGGGGAGAGCTTGGGACTATGGAGTGTGTGGAGCTGAGGCTTTGTCTTGACTTCCCCCTTTTTATTTGCAGTGATGGAGACACAGAAGATGGAGACCAGGGTCCAATCTGGACATTCCCCCCAACTATTCGCCCCAACTCCTTGAGCAAGCTGCACAAAGGAATGGCTCTTCATGGCTCCCAGAAGGTCTGTTTGCTATCATTCCTTTGGAAGTGGACCCAACTAACAGAAGCTTTTGAGGGTACTGGGGAAGCTGCTGGTCACTTGTGTTCTGCTTTAGTCTAGTACCAAGGGCTAGTGCCCCAGAGTTGCTTCTTCCTCATCATCAGGGCACTGCACTCTGGGGCTTTCCTGAGAGCTGGTAGGGGGCTGCCATGGATTGACCCAAGGCTTAGTGGTTTGTGTCCCCTGGGAGCCTTTGCCTGTGCTTTTAACTTCTGTGTTGTCTTCCAGCCTACTGAGCCCATCAAGAGGCAACCACGGTCACAGTGTCTCTCCACCCTTGTTCACCCAGTTTTTGGAGAGGTGAGTAGAAGCTTCTTGGTGTTTGCGGTGGCTGGAGACAAAGAGATTCCTGACATGGAGGAGTCAAGGGGAAGGATTTGGAGAAGGGAGGTAGGGTACATAGCAGGGTTGAGTGATCATGAAGCCTTTGTCCAGAGGTCTGTACAGAGTGTGAGGAAGGCGAGTATGTCCCTGGAGTGTCCTCTCCAATACACTGGTGTTCCTAGAAGCACAGCATTACTGTGTTGTCCGATGATGATGATGAGGTAGAGGAGCACTTGTTTCTTTTCTGTGTCCTAGGCTTGCTAGCCTAGCCTGGGCAGCTCTGGGCTCTGATATCCCTGGTTCCTGTAACTGAAGTGCAGCTCCTGTCAGTGCAGGCAGGTACCTGAGCTTGCCCGTCACTGGGCATCTTCCCTGCTGGATGCTGCTGCCCACAGAGCAGCTTCCTTCCACTGAAGGAAATGGGGGTGGACTGGAGCAGGAGTTGGCTTTGCCAGTCACCAGGCCATCTTCTTGATTCATCCTTGCCTGCTCTTGCTGGCACACCAGGGCTAAGGAGTTACCTGCTGTGTGGCCTGGGGAAGCTGGATAGAGAAAATGGATTTGGGAAATCTACCCTGTTTCCCTGCCTTGTGCTCTGGGTGGGGATGTGGAGTTAGGCAGAAGCCCCCATTAATAACAGGATAGTGTATGTATCAGCAGAGCTGGATTGTCTCTCCAGCTGTTTGAAGGGAGGAAAAGAGGACAGGAGTCATTAGGGGGCTACTGACTGTGGGCTTCAAGTCCACATTTCCAGCAGGGTGTAGGAAAGAAGGTTCTGCTTAAGAAGAAAGAGCCAAGCAGTGAATAAAAGCCTTTGTGCAGCCAGGCACCAAGTTCAGGCACATCCATATAGTGTAGACAACAATCATAGGAGCCTGATTGAGCTGGACAGTGGTTAAGCTGGCACACATGGTATGTCTGATTGGTGTTCAGCTGGTTGTGTCATGCTATGCACTAGGGAAGGGTCTGCTGCATCAGCTGCTTGTGTGAAATGCTGCAGAGGATAGGACTGTGGGTTTTCTTTCCAATGAGAGACTCCTTCAGGCTTAGCAGGAGTGACCCAGCAGGAGCTCCTTCATGACAGATGTTTAACTGTTGCAAATGAACAGCTGAAATCACATGCAAGGAGACTCGAGGCTGGTGAGGCCTAGTTGGAGTGATGATGTGAACTAAGGCTTTTCAGCTAGGTCAGGTGCTGCACGTGGAGGTCTTGCTGGGTGGGTTTCCTTCCTCCCCTCCCTCGGGTGAGCCAAGTGGCTCAGGCTCTGTGGTGAGGCAATAGTCTCCCTTGGCCTCCCAGTCACTAGGAGAGACTCAGACTTGTTTGTGGTTACTGCAAGTGGTGGTGACTAACTCCTGGGGTTCCTGTCTTCTCTACCCTGCCTGTCTGCCAGCCTTTGAGTGCAGCAGAAGTGTCTCTGCTGGTTCAGGTACAGCTGGAGTTCTGTGTTCTGTTACTACTTTGGAGTTTTTCAGGGCTGTTGATCCATTTCTAATATAATTTAGTTTAAGAGTAGATCAGGGTCTGCTTCTTAATGACTTTGATTGCCCTTAGCACATGGAGGAAAGTCTGAGCTACAGCCACTGGAATCCCATCTTCCTGACCTACAAAAAGTCCTTTTCAATGGTTTGTTTGTTTTTTTAAGGACAATGTAGGTGCCCTCCTAGAGTCATACTAAAAGGGAAAGTGACTTAATGGCTGCACTGCCTGACCACTGTGTCTCCACAGTGAGACAAGGAGCTAATGCACTGGTTCTGCTTTGCAGCTTAAAGATAAGCACAAGCAGACTGGAGGCAACGTGGGAGCTATGGAGGAGCTGGAAAATGCCTTCAGCCTGGCTGAGGAGTCCTGCCCAGGCATCTCTGACAAACTGATAGCGAGTCATACTAAAAGGGAAAGTGACTTAATGGCTGCACTGCCTGACCACTGTGTCTCCACAGAGAGACAAGGAGCTAATGCACGGTTCTGCTTTGCAGCTTAAAGATAAGCACAAGCAGACTGGAGGCAACGTGGGAGCTATGGAGGAGCTGGAAAATGCCTTCAGCCTGGCTGAGGAGTCCTGCCCAGGCATCTCTGACAAACTGATAGCACACATGGTGGAGAGGGTACAAAGGTAAGTGTCCTGCACAGTGTGAGCTGGGGTGGGGCTGGCAGGAACCAAACCATTGTCATACTCTGTGGCTGTGGTAAAGGCTGGTACCGAGCAGTCAGGACACCCAAGAAGTGCATATTGATGATAGCTGACCCAGCAGTCCCTAAGTTTCTTCTTCCAACTGCTTTTCACTTAGTGGAAGGACTTCTGAGGCTAGAAGAACTGCTTTTCACTTAGTGGAAGCAGTTCTTCTTGCCTCAGAAGTCCTTTCTCATCCTGAAGAGCTTTCTGTAGTGTAGATGAATGCTGCAGAGCACAGAAAGGTGCTGCTGTTCACCTTCATGTTGCACATATATATGACATCCTTCTGGTCCTATTGCCCAGCTGGTGAGAACTGCAGGATGCCAGCAGGGTCATTTCTGGAATAGAATCTGTTTCATTGCAAGGAATGTGCTTTACAGCACTATGTGCAGCCAGTCACTCTGCTTGTCCAGCTTCAGGTGGCACCAAAGTGCTTCTTTCCTGAAGTGAATTACTTACTAAACCAGTGAAGGAGTTCAAGCTGGTAGAATGGAGTTCCTTCATAGAATCACAGACTGGTTTGGGTTGGAAGGGACCTCAAAGATCATCTAGATCCAACCTCCCTGCATAGGAAAGAGACACTATTTGTTTGTTGCTCATTCTTTGTTGCTCAGCAGATGCTGTGTCAATCCTGCCTCCACAACTGGCACCAAGTTCAGGCATATCCATATAGTGCAGACAATAATCTCAAATCCTGGTCACAGGTTTATCAGGCTGTATTTAATTGCTTTTATTTTGTTTTTCATCCTTTCACATCAAGCTCTCCTAAATCTCACCCTTCCCTCACCAGCCAAGAAACTTAACATTTGGCCCCTCACAGGTTAGAAGACTGGGAGTAAAGTCTTTTGCTGTATGTGTGACCAAAGGAGCCATTTGGAGTGTAAACACAGCCCAAACTTTACAGTCTTGACACCTTGAACTTGGGCTTTCTAAGCACTTCTGATGGATTTAATCTGGCACAGTTTGTGCCTTGTTCCTCAAGTATCCATGGGCTGCTGGCAAGCAAACTTTAGATATTAAGGACCCAAAATAACTGGCCATCCTTGGGGGCTTCTAAGTCATTCAAGCTTTCAAGCAAACATGCTGTGAGTCTGCTCAGATCCCTCACCTAATGATCACCTAAAGCTGGGAGATGAATGCTCTTGTCTCCTGTCTGACCTGTCAAGGTCACAGGAAAGTGTCCTGGTGATGGCTGCAAGATCTTTAGCCTAGGGTTGCTGTGTAGGGCATCTGTCTCACATCTGTCAGCCCAGAAATGGCACAGCTGGATGGTGCAGAAGTGCAGGAGGGTGGTGGTTTGGAGGTCTGCAAAACCTCAGAGACCCTGGGTGTTCCTTACTGTAACACACTAGTGCTCAACATTTCCTGGTTGCCTAAAACTGAGTTTTTCAAGGCATGAGAACAAGTGCCACCTTGGCTCTCTGTTCAAGGGCTGGGTTTTGTTTTTCTTTCAGGAATTCTCTAGCAAACTGCTGGTGGGAGTGGGGACAAACACATCCAGGCTTACCTCCTCACCCACAGGCAGTGGCTGGTGCAGTCACACGGGCCACCTGCCAGGTGAGGACAGGGACAGAGGTGACCAGTTCCACCTGTTCTTCCTTGCAGGTTTTCACACAGTCGGAACCACCTGAGCTCTGCCCGCTGACACCTCTGCCCCCTGCTGCTGGTTTGAGGGGGGAAGGATTTTTTCCCAGCTTCATAAGAACTACATCTCTAATCCAGACCCACCCTCTGCTGTTGGATGTAACCTTGTGTTACGGACTCCAGGACATTTCAGAGCCCTCATATTACACACCCTTTCCATGATAACCCAGGGTGGGGTTTGCAATGCAAGTACAATTTAGACCTTTTGCAGAACCCGAGAGGGGTGGTCTAATTGTTTTTACAATGTAATCAATGCAGTTTTTAATTGTTTCCCTATGGATGTATCCATTTTGGCTTGGTTTGATTCACTGCTTGTTATTGGTCAATGCCTGGCTGCTGGAGAAGAGGGAGATTCTGTTTCAAAGGCAAGTCTGATGGACTCAGCCTCCTGTCCTTCCTAAAGGAGTGTTTGTGAGCAGTCATGCGTGAGTGCAGGTATGTTTGGAAGCTCTCCATGCTTTAAAGTCTCTGGGAAAGTTAAAGCAGCTCTCCCATTGTCCTGGAGGATTGCTTCAGCTCCTTCACGCACTAGTAATGAAAAGCTTTCCAGTAGAGCAGCAGCTGACCTGAGCTGCTGCTGCTCTTTCCCAGCTTGTGGTTTCCCAGGAGGATGGGTTTGCTGACTGTACTTGTAGCTCTGGGACATCATCCAATTCAGGCAACAGCAGAACTTGCCTTGAGTCTCCAGGGACTAGAAGGCAAGGTGGTAGGTGTGGTTTGGGAGATGGTGGAGTTCCCATCCTTGCTGCTTCCTGCCCCTGCAGCAACTAGGTAGGCAGGTTGGGCAGGCATGGTCTCCTAGCTGAGCAGACACTCACTGCGTGTGGCCAAGCAGTGCAGAAGAATTTAAAAAAGGGGGTAGAAGGAACATGAGAGCCAGAGGCAATGACAGTTCAAAAGGGTGGGACATGGGTAGCACTGCTTGGGGCAAGGAACCTGTCCTCTGCAGAAAGATATGAACTGGCTGGCAGCAGGAGTGTCCTTGTGGTGTGGCTGGGGGCTTGCAAAAGCTGCTCCAGGCCTCCATCCCCTGCTCAGCTTCCACTTTCTGGCTCTTTCAGTCTGGGATCTGGACTGGCTGATGCCAAGAGCTCTGCTCCAGTGGACAAGCTGTGGTGGTGTTTGCTGGCAAAGAAAGTAAAGCATCTGCTGCTGTAGTGGCTGCTTAAGGTATTCTAGTGGAGCCATTCCCAAGTAGCTTTGCTTTCTGTGTAACACTAGTTTATAAAGCAAATCTTTAATTCAGGTAAATGTACAGATCTTAAACCTATACTTTAAAAGTCTAGAAAAACAGACTTAGGAAAATAACTCCCCATAGCTGGTTGCTTTGAGATCTGCTCTCTAATTGTAAAGATATTCCCATTAAGTCAGCAAGATCTTAGACATCCAGACCTTTCTGTCTGGCTGTTGGTGTGGATGATGTGGCTCACCCCAAAGCCACCCAGAACAAAAGCTGTAGCTGTTCAGCATTTTGGTGCAAGACAGGCCACTCGGTTAGTAACTTGGCTTGGTGTTTGGTACTTTGATTCAGAGCTGCAGACTGTAAGTGCTGGGCTCAACATGGCTCAAAAGGCCCAGACATTCCCTCCCCTGGTGTGTGGTGTTTACTTTAGCTTATGACTATCCTTTCCTCTTCCTCCCTGATGGATAAATACAGGCTCAGCCAACACCACCAACTCATCCAGCAGAGGAGGTGGCACTGTTTGATCTTCATCTGCTGCAGTGTGGTGTCTCTCTGTGGTGAAAAGTCATCTCAGAGCCTGCATTGATGATGAAGAGAACAAACCCATTTGATTCCTCAGGAGAAGGGAGTTCAAGAGCCAGGAGATGTTTCTGAGGTGGAAGGCAGAGGCTGCAAGTCCAGCAGGAAAGGTGGCTGAGGGGGCTCCTGCTGCTTTTCAAGTCGCTGTTCGTGACGGTAGCAAATCATGTGAATAAGGTACCTTGTGTTGTTCCTCACAAGCACTGCAGTGTCACGAGTCAACTCTTTTTAAAGGAAACATCCCCACAAACTTCGTCCAGTATTCAGAGCAAAAGTGGTTTTACTTTTTAAAAACGTTGAAAGGGATCTGCCACTTTCAATAAAGTAACAAAACGAAGGAGGCTATTGGAGCTTGATTTTATGGGGGGAGAAAGTGGTTGGTTGAGCTGATTTTCTTTGCCTTCCTCTTGGTCTTCCCCCACATCTTCCTGCCTCAGGAACATCTGACAGTGACATGGCCTCGGACTTTTTGTGCAAGGAGGGAACAGAGCCAAAGGGCTGTTTGTTACACCTTCCTGCTGCCCTGCCCTGGGTCAAGGGGAGGCACACCTGGGGTGTAGCCGTACAGGGCACTGCAGGGATGTTCTTGTTGGCATCTGGTTGTCGGTCTGTAGCATTTAGGCTCAGGTTCGACTGTAAAAGCTGAAACCAGGAGCTCACTGCCTCCGTGTCGCTCTCCCTTTGCAGTTGTGAGGGTGATGGAGCAGTGGCACGGGCTGGCCAGAGAGGCGGGGTTTGCCAGTCCCTCCCAGCTTCACCCCCTCACTCTGAGCCGGTGCTGCCTCTTGCTGCGGGGCGAGCAGCTGATGCCCTGTGAGCCGAAAACCAGTCTTGGCAAACTACTCAGGAACTTGACCACTCTAATCATTTTAAATCCTGGCTCTAGAAAAAGCTCTGCTGCAGTAGGTGAGAGCAATGAAAGGCTGGGGTTAAAGGCCAAGCCTCACAGCAACCTGCTCCTGCAAGGGGCTAACCCAGGCTGTGACTGACAAAGGAGCTGCCACTATCATCCAGGAGAACCACTGGATGCAAAGATCCATAAATCCATGAAACCTCCTCTCTCATGTCCAAGAAAAAGCACTGCTGCTGTGCAGGTGCCATCCATCTTCCCACAAGCTCAGGAACAGAGAGGCTGATAAAAGTTTTATATCAAGATGCTATTTATTTTCAGCAGTCACAGTCAGCTGCGTTGTATCTAGTCAATCCACATGTGTACAGGTACAACAGTTAATTAAAAAAAAAAAAATGAAGACACTAATAAATTAAGTACATAACTTTTACATGGGACAATGGTCTCTGTGACAGGGGCTGTAGTACTTTTTTATAGGTGCAATATCCTCCACTGCTGCAAGGAATGCCAAATTAGAGAAGACTGGCTTTGCTCTCATTCCCAGTTTCAGACAGTAATACCTCTTAATAAGTATTGATGACCAGGGCTCTAGGACAATCCATTATTTGAAACGTGCCCTAGAGGACAGGAAAAAAGTTAATTAAAAAAAAAAAATGAAGACACTAATAAATTAAGTACATTTAACTTACATGGGACAATGGTCTCTGTGACAGGGGCAGTGAAGGCTGGATTTGCAGTCAGTCATCTCCTCCAGGATGCAAATTCCATGTAAGAGGTCTGGAAAATCCCTCTGGAACCCCCTCCTGCAGTCCTCATCCTGCATATGTTCTAGACCATAACCTGAACCAGCCCTGGAGAATGCACGTGCTGGCCTCTGAACTTCCCCTTTTCACAGGGATCTCCACACTCCTCCATCCTCACAACATCCAACACTTTCCTTGTTCTTTCACTACACCACTTCATTGTTCCTTATTCTAAATACACAGAAACCTTTCTAGCTAATATAAAAGTAGAGTTCCTAGAGCCCATCAAAGCCACAGCCAGCAGCTTTTTGTGGCACTTAGCTTATTTCAGTCCTTCCACAGAGGCAACTGAAGGTGACAGCTTTACAAAAACAGAACAAGCTACAAACCTTTCAGATTGAATACAGAGATTTAATAGAGTCCCCAGACACTAATGCTCCATCTGGAATCCAGTGACTTTTGCACCTTCATGAGAAACAGAAGATGGATCCCACCCCAAATGTAAAGGTAAGAATAGGTATTTTCAGAAGTCTTTGTGTGACACAAGCACAAGTAACAGTGACTTTCAGAGAAGCTTGTTCTCCTGTATTGCTTAAATGCCTTGAAAACATCCCCCAGATCAGGGTGGGGAGTGTGTTTGCCATCCCAAGCCTTAAGCAATGCCTACTACAGGATAAAGAAACTCTGGAGCTGTGATATGAAAATAGTGATTGACCTTCTTAGCATGTGCCATAGCAGAGTACAGAGGAAAAACCACAAGCCTAACCTGTACCGACCCACAAGACACCAAAACCTCATCAGCTGAGCCGAGGGCCACTCCTCTCACTCCCCCTGGAAAAGTTTTCAGAGAGCAGAGCTGTTGCACAAGAACTGCAGTTGCTGTTCACAAGGAGCTGTGTTCACACCTGTGGAGCCTGTCAGTCTGACTGTGCCAGCAGCAAGGCAGCCACGCCAGGTGTTAGGAAAAGGGATTTCTGGGAGCCCATCACACACTGACAGCTGCTGTTTTGCTCCTGTATACGCTGACCATCCAGTCAGAATGTAAGAACAAGGTGGCATCTGCAAGGGTTTTACTGTCCAGGTCCAAGGGGAACAATCCCCCTCCCACGATGGGTGCTTGCTGGAGCTCTGTGGTTGTTGGCTTCTCTCTAAGTAGGTTCAACCTGAACAGACTTGACCCTCTTCCATACCACTGGGAAAGGATGTGATCCTTGTTTGCAACTCCCTTGCTCCCACTTTCCATATCAGGTGGAAATGAGCTTCCTGGTTCTGTGTTTTATCAACCCCAGAGACTCCTGTTTCCACCTGCCTCTTTTGTTGATATTTCCAGCAGAGATCCAGCTCTGCCCTGCTTCAGTCTGTGTGACTGTCCTTCTCATCCTTTGGGAGCAGCAGGCTCGACCTGGCTGGAGTACTGGTGGCTCTCTTGATCACCTCCATCCACCTGGCAAGAAAGGACATGAAGAACGCTCAGCCCTTCATTCACAGATGCATCATCTTTGATTATGAGCTGCACCCTTTTCAAAGTTTTCTACTTTTACAATTATTTTAAGGAACTAATTCTTCAAATATGTTGCTTGAGATGCAATAAATACAGAGCAGAACATGGCTGCCTGTCCAAGTAACAGCTCCACAGTGCTTTGAGCTCCACAGAGCTCCTATGAGGGAACACCATGGTCTCTTGTAAGTGTGCAGAAGGTGTTACCAATGAGGACAGGCTGACAAAAATTCTCCTTAGTGAATGGATTGCTTTTCTCACAATAAATGACGCAGCAGACTTGCTTGTAAGGACAACAGCAAAGCAGCAGGGAAGAAGGCAAGACAAACATCCATTAGGCATCAGACATTTTCTCCTTGAAATCCCTACATGGATTAAAGAGCATGACTTTGCAGTCTTGAGCAGCCCATCTGTTTGTTCATAGAATCACAGGGGTTGGAAGGGACCTCTGAAGATCATCAAGTCCAACCCCCCTGCTGCAGCAGGAACACCCAGGGCAGATCACACAGGAATGTGTCCAGATGGGTCTTGAAAGTCTCCAGAGAAGGAAGACTCCACAACCTCTCTGGGCAGCCTGTCCCAGGGCTCCAACTGGACTATGCACTGTTGATCACAACCCTCTGGGCCCTGTTGTTCAGCCAGTTCTGAATTCATCTCACTGTTCCCTCCTCTTAAGTCACACTTCCTGAGCTTATCCACAAGGATGTTTAGGGAGACTGTCAAAAAGCCTTGCTAAAGTCAAGGAAGACAACATCCACTCTTCTCCCTGCATCTCTCCATCCTGTCACACCATCACAGAAGGCTATCAGATTAGTCAGACATGATTTCCCCTTGGTGAATCCATGCTGGCTACTGATAACCTTCTTTGCTCACAAATACGTGGTACTCTCCCAAGGAGGGGGAAATAGGTGACACCTTCTCAATGAAACCACACTCCAAAGCATCCAATACCACCCTGCAGGGCAGAACACAACTCAAGGTTTCCAACAGCTGAAGTTTTGTAGCAAAGTTTTGTACCTGATGGATTTTAAACAGGATTCACATTGGATCACATGTGGAAGCCCCTAACAGCAAAGCTAAGCAATGAAATGCAAAAGAGCACTGCATTTGTTGCTCTCAGTCTTTTGTGTTACAACCCCTGTTTCCGGAGACTGAGAGGAAAAGAAAAAAATATCCTTGCCAGAGCTCTCATGAACTAAAAATCTGACTCCACAGCCCTTCTACCTGTGCTGCTCTCCAGCTCCAAGGAAGCCCCAGACTCCTAAGACAAAGCAGAGCCCAGAGCTCTAGATGCAACCACCAGCTCTCCCCCAGAAGGAGGCCAGTTTGGCAGACAAGGCATCGATCCCTGAACATCATCAGTAGGAAGAGGTAGGGAACTTCACTACTGAGAATGTGCTGCAAAGTCACTGGGACTAGGGAGCAGTGAGGAGGAAAGAGAGGGTTGTGGATGATGTGGTGAGTTAACAGCATGTTACCAAGACAGACAGAGAAAGCAGAAAATTACCTCTCAAAGGTGTATTTGCTCTCTGCCCTGAAGAAATACACATGGGACTTGAACTGCAGCTTGAAGACAAAATCCTTCTGAATGCCATCTGCCTCCAGAGGGGAGCTGACTGCATAGCCCAGCAGTGGGAGACTGGCCAAGGGATAATCATCCTGGAACAGACCAAGAGCCCAGCCCTTAGTGCAAGGCATCCCCTGCCACACAGCTCAGCCCAACACACACACACTCCTCTGTGCTGCACAGGTCAGGCCTTTGCACTTTATTCAAGAGAGAATGGGAGAAGGAGCAGCCTTTATCTTTTGCAAGGCCTCTCACAGCTTATGATTAAACCTTCCCCCAACTCCTTTCACTGTTTTTATACTTATTTGCTTCTATTCCCTGCCCACTACTGCCTCCTGGGCTGCCCCCCTTCCCCTCCTCCACACTCTCTAGAACAACAAACACAGATCCAATAGGAAAGTTCAAATATCCCTCCCAAAAGAAATGTGCCCTGAAGGCAAGAATAAATACAGTTTATTGGATTCATGAGACAAAAAGGCACAGGTTGCAGTGCATCTCAGCTGGTTACCAAGCAGGCACTGAAGGCACCATGGGCAGAAGAATCCCTGATGCCTGTCCCAGTGTGCTGAAGCCCAGCAGGGACAGAAATGGGCAGAGACTGACCAAGGGCTGCCCATTTTTTCACCTCTGTGAGTTACTGCACAAAGAGACATTTCAGCCCCCACCCACAGAAGGTCAGTATCATCATCAGGATTGGAAATCCTGAAAAAATTTTGCAAGAAGGGCCCATGGCCTTACAGAGACTGGCTTGTTTACAAACTACCTCTTCTTCCACTTCAAATAGCAGTGAGCTGCACCCTGAGCAGAAAGCCACTGACCCCCTGGTTCCCACCAACACCCCAAGCCCCATCCTCTCAGCTACATTTGCTCACCTGATGTGTTTTGTAGAAGAACAAGCAGAAGTTGGTGAAGACAACCCACAGTTTCTGCCAGCCATTGCTGTTCTTGAACTTCCTCAGCAAGTATCCAGAGAGCTGGTTCTAGCATGGAATGACAAAAACACTCTGTGAAACCCCAGCTCACTGTCCTGCAGGACAAACCAGTTGCCCCAGATAAAAAGCTTAAGGCTGCCCTGCTATAAACTCCCCCTCCTGCACTTACTCCCCTGTTGTAAAAGGCCTCCCAGATACTTCACGTGGTGACTTAAGTGACTTTGCAGCGTCACAAATTCACAACTGTCACCTTATGAACTAATTAGTGATTTCTCTCCACTAATAGCAAGTTCCCCTCCACGTTTAAGCACCTCAGCACAGTATCAGGCAGCACACAGGAGGATGCTGCACCCTCCAGCAACCACCCTCCTTCACAGCCTACAGTCAAGGGACTGGTGACAACCACCAGGGTGGCCATCCCTTCAGCCACCCTTTTTTACATGCACAAAAAACTACCTAGAACAGATTGTGCAGGAAGGAAAATAAAGCAGAGGAGGAAACAGAGGGTGCCAGAGTTGTGGACAAGCTACATGTGGCAGATAGGCAAAGCCAAGCCCAGCATGGCAAGCAGGGAAGTTGGACATTGCTGCCTTGGAGTCAGTCATCAAGTGCTTGTGCAGCAGGGTAAGGAAACCTGGGGCATGGAATGACAGCACATGGATTTTGTAATTAAAGACAGGACACACAGCAGTTTTACACAGGGAACCATTTTGGGAAGCAGAACTAGGAGGAAATCCTGTATCAGCAAGGGAACATGAAACCTGCTGCGGGTTGGATGGGGCACCCTCACACTAGCACACATGGGCTGCTCACAGAGCGTAGGAAGTGAGCAGCAGGACATTTTCCTTGGCATCCCATGGCTCCTCCCCATTAGTGCAGAACTTCAGAGGCATTTTTACCTGGATCATGCACAGGTAATCAGACAGGGATAGGCTCTGGTTCCGGTACCAACAAACATGGGTGATTGTGTTGGGCCGTTGGGCCTGGCCCAGCAAATAGCGAGGAGGAAGCTCTGGAGAAACAGCAAGAGAGCAGAAAACTGAGCAGAGAAAAGGGGGAGAGAAACAGAAAAACAGAACATTAGGATAAGAGAAGTGATGCGAGAAAGATGTCTGTTAAAGGAAAATGGATGGTGGGGGGAAAAAAAATGATGGTATTAGAACATGGAACAGATGGAAGTGAGGGAGCTGCAAGAACTCGCACGTGTAATCCCAGAGCCTGTAGCAGGGTGGTCTCATTGTCCAGGTACAGACCAGCCAGGAAGAACCTTTCCCAAGGATACCAGCAGGGGAAGGAAGGCTTGTGCCCATCAAGAGAAACCACTTTCTTTGCCAGCTGAAGTGCCCAACTTCTGGACCTTGAGCCTAACATCTACAGAACTTCCTTTACTGAGCTGATGGAGAAGCTCTCCACATCACTAACACCCAGGGAATTCCATGCCTGACTTAACTCCCTCCATGAAACAAAAAGTGCCTTAATGGCATGGCAGGGAAAACAGGAAGGTACAAATACATGGATTCAGGGCTCTGCCCATTGCTGTTTGTCTAGTTAGTGACCTCTGTTTTCTCTTCATGGTATTTAGGGTTTTTCCCACTTCTGGAATTCTCCAAGCATGTTTGCCTTCAGGAAGGTGTCCTACCCAAATGACCTTGCTCAGCTGCTGCTGCCTAAAGTGAAAGCACACTGTCAGTGCAAGCAGCACTCTGCGTAAGGAGCACTGAACAGACTCAAAGTCTGCAGGATTCAGTCCCCAAACGTGCCACCATTGCTGCATCAAGCCACGCCCAGTGGCAAGACCCCAGGTAACAGCAGCTCAGCAGGCACATGAGAAATCTGCTCAGCATAACACGACACTGCCATAAAATGGCACTTCCTAAAGCTTCCTGCCCTGCCAGAGACAGAAAAGCAGGGGAGTCTATTCCCATGGAACTTAGTCTTCTTCACAGGTTGCCCAGGGAAGCTGTGGCTGCCCCATCCCTGGCGGTGTTGAAGGGCAGGTTGGATGGGGCTTGGAGCAACCTGGGCTGGTGGGAGGTGTCCCTGCCCATGCAGGGGGTTGGAGCTGGATGATATTTAATGTCCCTTCCAACTCAAACCTTTCTGTGATTCTATGATTCCTAATTCTAGGTGCAGTACAGCAACTAACCAGACCTCAGTACAGCTGAGTCTATCTCTAAAAGGAAAATACCATGGCCAGGTAACTTATCCTCCAGGGTTTCCTTTCAAACTCCCCTCCTTCAGTGCCTCTGCCAAAGCCAAGCCCGGCTGTCAGGAGAGCGGACACACAGACATGCACAGAGAGGGGCAAGCAAGTGGCCTTTTAGTGGCCCACGCTGTCCCAGGACCACAGAGATGCTGCCAAGGGATGTGGGAGATGGAGTGGAGGCCGAGTGAGTTGGGATGGAGAGAATGAGAGGTTGGGAGCTGTGCCCTGTGGGTACCTCGACAGCCACACTGTGGTCAGTCATGGAGACGCTGGTGTTGCGGTACCAGCATACGTGCATGGTTGTGTTGGCACGGTGGTGGCTCTGCCTGTCCAGGGAGCTACGAGAAGAGTGTATGTCATCTTCAGACTCCTGCTCTAGAGAGACCTCATCAGAGGATCCTGGGGGAGGAGAATTCAGCATCGGTTTAAAAATGTGCAATAAAAAGAGCCAGGGAAAGCAGGGGTTCCTGGGGAAAAAAAGACTTCTCTCTGGCAACGGTCCTGTTTTAAAATGCATTACATGGCTCCTAAAGGCCACTCTGAGCAGATAATTTTGGCTCTCATGACTGGGGCAGCCGACTCAATACTGTGTAAAACAAAAAAAAATCTCCACACTTCATCTTCAGTGGATTCTTAGTGAGGAATAGGGAAAAGTGCTCCAAGAAGGGATACTACGTGTTCCAGCACATCCGTAACACCAGCAGAGACAGGCACAGGAACACTGGGCTATAGAAGAACTTGCTGATCTCCAAAGACATCAAAATTCTGGGCAAGAAAAAAATACTACATGGTTATTTTGAGGAAAAACCTATGTAAGAGGTAAATAAGAATCAAAAGTTTTGCAAGTGGAGCATCTCTGCTGCATTAAAGCTGCCTGAAATATCAGTCTAGGAAAACAAGCACATTTCTTCAAGTTAAAATAACACAAGAGCACAATAACTCTCCATCAGCATATGAATTTTAAAAATTCTCCATTTATGTCACCAAATTCACAATAGGACAAATGAAAAGGACATGACAACTGCTGCTTTTCAAGAAGGCAGGAAACACCACTTACTGTTGGAGCGATTGCATAGAGAGTTTTCCAGAAGCATGTCAGATTTCTCAGTAGATTTCTTGGCCATTTCAATTGCCATGTTCAGGTCTTCCATCCACTTCCCCATCTCCAAGCGAGTACTGCAAGACAAACAGCGCGAATGGAGACCCCTTCCAGCCTGGAACACCAGTGCTGGTTTGCAGAAGAAAGGCACAGCTCACTGCCCAGTACAAGGAGCAGTCATAACATTGAAATTCCTCAATAGCATGATCTTTCCAGACAGGACCCTGACCTCATACAACCTTCACTGCTGCTACTTTGTGTCTAATAACAAAG